GAGCGTCAATGTTTATGAGGCTTTAAAGCCCCAGGCATTCCAGGCCTCCAAGAAGTGTTGAATAACATGCACGGCCTTTTCCCCTATCAAAGACTGGGAAAGCCATCTGTAATTTTCTCCGCTCCTCTAATGGTAAAAAGGAGTCGGTACCAAATAATGGGGGTGTTGATGGAAGTACACCCGCTGGATTAACAGGTCTCTTAAATTTACCGGGGTGTGACCGGTTATCCCCTATTTTCTCTCCCTCCTTTTTTGTTTCTTTTTCATCTAGCTGAGCTGTTTCCTCTAAAACTTTATCTCTTGAGCTTTTAGAGTCATCAGAGCTATCAAGATTTAAAGCTTTAAACTTATTTACAGAATCATCTAACAAATTACTCACTCCCTTGTCATTAGACATCCCGGGAGGTCCTTTTTCCTTATTCGTTGTTGTTTCTCTTAACAAATTACTCACTCCCTTGTCTCTAGACATCCCGGGAAGTCCTTTTTCCTTATATTTTATTGTTGGGCGCGCCCCATCTCTCACTACATTCGGTTTCTGACATGTAATTCTGGACTTCTTTAAGATTGCTACAACAGTGAGAAAGGTCAAAATGGCTCCTAGTAAAAGCACAGAAGCCTCTACACTAACCTCCCAAAATAGCAACATTCCCAACCCAAAGTCCAGAAAAGACATACCTCTCCGAATTTACCACCCTGCAGTTCTGAATCCGCCCCGTTAGAGGGGTCTCCGCAGTGCCGGCGATGTTAACAAGTTCCCAGGTTTCGGCACCAGATGTCCCGCGCTATGTTCTCGCCGGCAAGAATCACACAGGACATTCGGATCCTTCTGCAGGAAAGCTTTAATGCATCTTGAGGGGAGAGAGAGCATAAGCTTACCAGAGCGGAGACCCCGAGCCAAGAATCCCATCCCCTAATAAAGGCTGGCAGCGGCCACCTGGGACGTGTCACCCTATGAATGGCTTCAGCTCCTCAGGCCATATGAGCCATGGGATAGGCAGAGATCAAAGAAATGGAAATTACCCAGCGCCTGTGAAATAATTTACATTCGGTGCCTGCAGGCACCATCATTGTAATGGAGAATGCAGGGACAGCTCCCTACAAGGGAGAATGTGACAGTTGGGAGGAAGAGGACTCCGGGGAACTCCAGTCTCACAGCAAGTGGGGTCTACTTTATTTTGTCTCCTCTCAAAGCTGGTTCTCAATCCTAATCTGAGCTGTACTCACATACCAGCATGGTGAGTTTAGAAAGTGTGAGTAGAATGCACAGCCGAAAACTTAGCAAAATACTTGAATCCAGTGACTCAGGGACTGGGGAGATGGGTGGCTCAGTTGCTGAGAGCACTTGCTGGACAAACAACAATCTGTTCAAATCTCCAACACCCAACATGGAAAAAGTTGGGCATGCCACACATACCTTTAACCCTAATGCTATGGCGAGCAGAGGCAGCTTGGCCACTGCCCATCTCCAGATTACATGAGAGGCTCTGTGTCAAGAGAGTAAGGCAGAGAGGAGAGAGCAGGGCACTCAGAATTGTCCTCTGGCATCTGCATGTGTACCCACACCGACACGTACATATGAGACACACACACACTTTCACACAAGGACACACACAGAATGAAAAGAAAAAGAAACCTTTAGAAAATTGCTACAAATCTTTAGGTAGGTGCTGTGGCATTTCCTGGCTTTGTGACCTCAGCCCAGCAGTCCCTTCAACTCTCTAGATTTCCACTCACGTATGTAAAATATGGGAATGAAAATAAGTCATGAAGGAGTTGGTACTGTGGCTGGCTGGCACCTAGGGTTAGGGCCTCTTCAGGCAGTCTTGGACCCCTGAGTCATGCATTACGGTTGGACCCCTCAGTCACGGTTTCCCGGATGCCACCGTGGGGCCCTGAGGCCTTGCTTTCTCAAAACTGTTATGTACCTCTCTCTTACAGCTGCTCGCCACCTTCTTAATTCAACTTGAGCGAAGGAAGGGAGTTCAGTCCTCTGGGATTATGCTTATTTTTTGGCTTGTAGCCCTACTGTGTGCCGTCGCCATCTTGAGATCTAAGATCATCTCTGCCTTAAAAAAGGTAATGGATAGCCTATGGGAGAGATACTTATTCCATCTTTTTGGTCATGTGTTGCTATGGGAACCACAGGATGGGGACCACATGGACTCTGCTTCTTTTCCAGGAACAAAATTCTCACCAGTCAGGTACAGACTTTGTTCTTCTCTACAGGCAAATACTGTCTCTGCAGTGTCTGTAGGCTGGCTGGGCTGGGCTGAGCTGAGCTGAGCTGGGAGCTGTGTTTGCCCAATGGCTCCTCCCCAAGAGCCCTGGACTCATCCCTATTACCTTGATGCTACTAGCTACAACTCTGGGAGGTAGTTGTTGGGGCCAGCTGCTGTGTGCCACTCCCAAAACTGCTGAAGAGTGTGCCCTTCTTGGCTATCTGCTATTTCTTGTTATCTAGGAGCTAGAGACTGGCGTGAGCACAGAAGAGGGGTTGAACAATTGTGGGGCACCTATGATATAGGTCACAGCCTCTGACATTCATTGAGTTTGTTTTCCTAAGTGCTTCTTCAGGACTACAAGAATAATCTGAGGACCATGAGCAATGACCCTAATGAGGTATTCCCACCTCAGCACTGACAAGTGGACAGAGACTTTGTTGTGGGGCGTTGCCCTGTGCTTTGCCTGTATCCAGGGGCATCCTGGCCTCCATCCTCTTGTAGCTAGGAGCACCCCTTACCCAGGTGAATGACAAACAAAATGTCCCCAGACACTGGAATGTTGCCTAGGAGGCAAAACCACTCTTGGTTGAGGGCCATTGGTGTGCTGAGCAGTGGAGAAGCCAGGACTCAGAAAGGTGAAGTGAATGGATAAGGTCCCATAGCCTGAAGGGGCAGGACCAGACCTGTCCATTCCCTGCTGTGCGATGCTATCTGGGCACAGTCCCCACCCTTCTTTTGTCTTGTCTTAAGGGAAGGGAAACATGGGGATGCTTGTGGCAGAGGAGATGGGTGTCTGCAGCCTGCTCTCTGGGCTTATCTTAATCTTTTTACTGTTGCTATAATCAATTCCTATAATCAGAATGATTTAGAGAGCAGAGAGGCTTATTGAGCTTGCGGTTCTGAAGGCTGGGAGGTCTGAGGTCTTGGGGCTGCACCTGGAGAAAGCCTTGCTGGTGGGTTCCCTGTAGAGGCTGTGTGGCAGCTTAGGGCATCATGAAGATGCCAGCTTGCAGCTCTGCCACCTCCTCAAGTACTCACAGCATCATGGATTCCCACTGCTGAACACCATTTCCTGTGACTGAAGGATTTGGTGAAGCATCTGTACCCTGCTTCTATGGAAGACTATGGTGACCTGTGTCCCCTGCCTTCTCTCTTGCTCAGGATGCCCAGGTGGACGTTTTTCGAGACACCACGTTCTATATGTACTTCACCCTCGTGCTTGTCCAGCTTGTGCTGTCCTGTTTCTCAGACAGCTCACCCCTGTTTTCCGAAACCGTCCATGACCTGGTAAGTGTGACCCAGACATGTATGCACAGGTGGGAGAGAAAGTCTGCTCAGCACTGGTTCTGAGCTCAATGTTAGCCGGGTACTGGCTAGTTCTGAGCCCTATGTCCTCTAGTTGAGACTCACTTTCCATTCTTTCAAAAGGCCATAGAGAAATCACTCTTCCTACTTGCCAGGGAAACCTGGACTTGAGTATACCAGTGTCCCTGGAGGCAGAAAGTCTGTGTTGTGGTATTCCTGGCTGTGCCTTATGAGCTAGCTGGTAGCTTTTACCCAGCATGGTGATTTTAGAAAATGTCAGCAGCTGAAAACGTAGCAAAATATACATGAGCTCCAACTACCCAGGCTTTCTAGAAAAATGGGAAGTCTTGGCAGATTAGGGTCCTGGTCTCACAGTGCAATAGTTGGTAGGGGCTGGGACTGTGGATCCCCGATGTCTTTGATCTTGAATCTCTGCTTTGTTACCCACCAGGCCCTCTGTCACCTCTTTCAATTCCAAGGATCCTGTGTGAGCTACTGCTTCCTTCTGCTCCATCTTTCCTTCCCCTTAGTCTGCCCTTAGCCCTTTCTTCCTCTACTTCTTTGTTCCTCCCTTCCTCTTTTTCCCCTCTTTACCCCTCCCTCCTTCTAGTAAGTATCAAGTATCCCTTCAAGTGCCTTTGGGGTTCTCATCGACCCAGTGGGGGTTGCCATCAGATCCTAGCAGACAGCAGTCTGTAGGCAAATCCCTACCATCTCCTTGCTTTTTTGTCAATGAATTTGTATTTGGAACACAGTCTTGCTCATTCATGAACATGTCCCACATGGCTCTTGTGAACTTAGAAGGAGAATTAAGGAGTTGCCACTGAGACCGTACCCCTTGAAGCCTGACGTTTGATGTTTTTCCTTTAGCTCTGCTGAGTTGGTGCCTTGAATTTGCAGCTACTTTTTTTCAGGGCTTCTCTCTTCCTGTGAACACACCGTGCAGTCACATGAGGGGAAAAGAACAGGAAGCCAGCTGTTCACTGGCTCCCTGCTGTGCTGAGCACTTCACATGTCTGCCTCTTTTGTCCCATTTTTCAGACAGAAAAACCGAGTCTTAGGGTCTATGTACCTTGCCGGTTGTAAGTTGCAGAGCAGGAATTTGAACCCAGAAAGGCCTGGCCCTTCTGTAGATCCCCATCACTTCTCTTGGCTACACCCTACTTGAGGGCAGGTTTAATAATGGCTGGATTGATTCTCAGGCCCAGAGGTAGAGATTGTCCTGGGATCTTGCTGCCTCAGGCAGGACTGGCATGTGTGGACCTTTAGTTCCTACTACTGCTGTAACACTGTAGGGAGAGGCGTTCACTCCAAGGGTCCTCAGAGGTCTGCTGGGGCCTCCTGAGGCATTGAATGAGGTTTCTACTCTGTCCACTTCCCCTAAAGCCAGGAAGGAAGTAGAGGTACTAGTGTGCTCAGAGAGCTGCTGAAGTCCTGGCATGATGCCAAAACTTGGTTCCCTTTTAAAAAAAAAAAATTGTGTTTGGCCAGGTGTAGGCGGTGCACACCTTTATCCCCGCACTTAGGAGGCAGAGACAGGTGGATCTCTGTGAGTTCAAGGCCAGCCTAGTCTACTGAGCAAGTTCTAGGACAGCATCCAAAGCTACAGAGAAACCTTGTCTCCCAAAAAAAAAAAAAAGTCATGTATGTTTATTTTGACAAAATACATGCAGCCTGAGATTGACCATAACTGCTTTAAGTGTAGGGTTGAGCAGCATCAGCTTTTAATTTCATTCATGCCACAGGTACTGTGGCTGGCTGGCAATTATTTCAACTGGGACTGTATTAGACACAGAATCCTGGACCCCCTCCTGGGGCCAAACCGTCACAACTTTGACAGCATCCCCAGATTGTTTAAATTGTGTGAGTGTTTGTATGTGTGTACACAGAAAAACTGAAGTGGCACCAATTCAAATTCAAAGCTCTCAGACTTGAAGGGGAGATTTTTTTTTTTTTTTTTTTTTTTTTGCTTGCTTTTTGCTATGCTGGGGATGCAAGTGTTTCAGCACTGAGCCACATCCCCAGCACCAACGAACTCAAAAAATTGGGACTCAGAGAAGTTGTGCTATTAGACTCTACTGTATACCTAATTCATGTGGAAGAGGAACCAACTTCTTCTTGGAGTTGGGTTGACCCCGGGCTCTAAGTTCACATGTGTCCTCTGGTGCCTTCAGTGGACATCAGCAAGGTCTGTGGTGTATAATACACTTCATCCCAGAAACATAGCAGTATGCATAATAGTCACAATTAAAGCCACAGGTGTCTGGAGCTGGCCGAGCAAACTGACACAAGGTTAACAGGAGAAAGTTGATTCTATATACACAGGGGTTAGGACTCAGAGGCAAAGTGAAAACCCCTGCAAGCATTTAGGCCTGAAAACTTACATGCCATCTCAGCAAAGGGAGACACATTTGTGGAGAAGAGGCAGGACAAATGGGGTTGTAGAAGTGGCCAATATGAGGGGTGTTAGTAATTTTAAAAAGCGACTCGAGAGAGAAAGACAACCATGCAGCAGAGTTAAAGCAGAGAGGTTTTTATTAAGGGAAAAGGATTGTAAAAAGGGGAAGGGGGACAGGAGCAGCAAGAGAGAGGGAAGAGAGGCAGAGAGACAGAAACAGACAGACAGACGGAGGGAAAGAGAGGGGGGAGGGAAGGGAGGCCGGCAGGGCCCTTTTAAAAGGAACGTAGAGAATGTGCACAGGTGGTGCTCTTAGTGGCTGCCGCTGAGGGCATATCCTGTCAGAACTCCAAAGGGAGGCCAGTACAAATGCCTGAATGCTAACAAGGGGTTGATGGGTGGGTTTGTAATGAAGAGTGAGGATTGCTTTAGTGCAGGTTGTGTGGCCTGTTTTGGTGCCACCATTAATACTGTTGGTTCTTTCCCTGTGTGCAGGTAGAGAGGGGGAAGGTGTGTGTCCTGCTTTAGGCAGCCTGAGGTAGAGTAAGGAGAGTACTTGCTGCTGCTTAATTTTCTACACCATATGCCGATGTGCCATAGCCAGAATCTAGCCTATGCCAAGATCAGAATCTCAATGCCATGTCTTTTGTGCTTATGGTGTGTGTAGATTACTTACATAGCAGTTACACTGTATTTAGTACGATGAGTAAAGAAGAGGTGATTTAATGTAACATGGGAGTGGCAGGAATGTTGCATTTTGATACCTGAAGGGGTTGCAGATAAAACAGTACTGGATTTTGTCTCAAGAAACTGCAGCAGCTTATGATGTTTCAGGGTCCTGAGTTGATTTGGTTTAGCCAGGTGGTTTTCAGTCATTCTCTTCTTTAGACATAGTCAGATGGTGGCTTCTTCAGTGTGGCGTCTGAGGACGGAGGCTGGCCATTACGAGAATGGCACCTGCATATGACCTGGACTTCCTCACAGTATGGAGCAGAGCAGGTTTCTATGAATTCCACATGAAACCCAGTTCATTTAACACCTAGTTCTGGGGTCCTGTAGTGCAGCCCTGTCATGTTAGTTGTTTACGGGAGAGGAGAGCCAGGGTCTGCAAGGCTTGAGGAATGGGTCCCCAAGTCAAAGGAATGAGAGCTAGGCTGCTGCTAGGTGAGGAAAGTTTGTGTGTGTGTGTAGGGGGGAGGGGTTTCTAGAAGAAGTAGCATGTGCAAAGGTCTAGATGTATGATTAAACTTATTTATGTTTTAGGGATATACAGACTTGTGCTTGGCTCAGTCAGAAGGTCTGGTGCCAGGAGTTAAGTGACAAGCCTAGGGGGAGAGGAGAATGCTGAGATTTGAGCATTGTACATGTGTGATCAAGAACAGAACTGTGCATATCATGTTTATTTATTTTTTCCTTTGAGACAAGATCTCATGTAGCCTAGGCTGGCCTCAAACTCTTTTTGTATTTCTGACCCTCTGTGTCTCCACTTCCTGTGTGCTAGGATTATAGGCATGCTCACCATGCCTGGTTTATGAGGTGTTGGGTATAAGTTATGTTAGTTTCCACCAACCAGCCACAGACCAGTATTATGGAAGCTTAACTTCATCATAGGTAGGAGTCTATCAAAACTTTTGCATTGATAGTGTCACCTTTAGTTTGGATGTGTTTTGGGGGTTCCCTTGGGCTGAAAGGAGAATGCATGGGACATAGGGAGGTTGGTAGCACTCAGAAAGGTGTCACAGATGGCCAAATACCCAGATCTAAGATATAACACCTGTGTTTACTGAGGGCTTTGGTACCAGAAATAGAAAATGGAAAGTTCACGGGGAAAGGGCTTGGGAAACAGGTCCAGGTGTGTATTCTGTCCTAGCAGGGAGGTTTTTTGAGCAGCTGTTGCCTGGAAGGCCAGCAAATTGCTAGTGTTGATACAACATCTGAAAATATCTCATTATTGGACCCTGGAATGATTTTAACCAGTCATAGGCATAGCATTGCTCAGTTCATTTAGCCTGTACAACAAATTCAATAGACTGCACACTCAACCTCCTGGTTTATAGGTAAAAACATAGAGGGTGAGTGCAGAAGTTCAGGGACCTTCTGCAGGGTTTTCACAGCAGGGAGTGTAGATTACTGTCCCCACCCCCTTATTGATAGCATAGGGCAGGGCATGGCTGGAACTTTTTATTTCTTTTTTCTATTTTTTTTCCCCCAGGACAGGGTTTCTTTGTGTAGCCTTGGAGCTCTATCCTGGAACTTGTTGTATAAACCAGGCTGGCCTCGAACTCACATAGATCCACCATCTCTGCCTCCTGAGTGCTGGGATTAAAGGCATGTGCCACCACCATCCCACTAGAACTTTTTATTTCTAAGGAATTTGCTGCAGCAGCAGCACACACACATCTTACCTCAATCCTTTAGTCTGAGCATCATGGGAAAAAGGCTGAATTAGTTACCTTTGTTATCAAAGAAGTCCTCCCACGTTAGATGGAGGTTTCCAGAAACCAACTCCCAAATCGATAGACTTCCCTCTTTGCCCTTGCAGAGAGCCCAGTGGCTGTAATTTCAGATAATCTGAGTGTCCCTG